TTCGATAAAAAAAAAAAAAAAAAGAAAAAAAAAAAAAAAAAAAAAAAAAAAAAAAAAAAAAAAAAAAAAAGCCTCCCATTGTTTAAAAAAGAGAGATCTTGGCGGTAGATACGCTAGAGAAAAGCCGATCTATGTTGAACAAAACCTTATTGATAATTTCCTTTTTTAGTTTTTAGTTTTTCCTTCCATTTACCTGGTGCCTGTCACAATTGGTTGGATATCAATATTCAACGAACATGACAATCCATTACACCAATTAAATTAGCAATCTCTCCACAAATGTAGTTGATGTAAATATTAACAAACATACTTGCAATGAAATACATCAAAAAAGAGTCTAAATTAAAGTTAATCAAGTGAAACAATATAAATCTTACACACGTTTTCTTTCTAATAGGCCTTCAGCAAAAACTCTTACTCCTTGCTTCACGACGTGTCTTAGGTCCCATCCATTGATCCAATTTCAACTTTGGTTCTCGCTTATAATCGCTTGTGTAAAATCAAAACGAATCAGCTTCCTATACCGGTTTGATAGACAAATAGAGATCTTGATTTAACATGCTTGTCATAGTGTTTAGTCTGTGTACCGGTTTTCCAAGAAGCAGAATAAACTCCTTAAAAATATCCTGATTTTGGTTCGACGTTCTTTAGATAGAACCTTGTGTTACACGATTCCATTGGTTGCTTTTGGGGAATGTCATTTGCTTATACATTGTGCCTGACTTCTTTCTTTTAGGATTTAAATAAAGATAACTTTCTTATGCCATAAATGGGTAAAAGGTTGACCATATACGGGTGTGCGACGAGGCTGTATCGTTACATTTTTCATTTTCCCGAAATGAAATAATGTACCCGTTATAACGTGATATGGTTTAAAATAAAATTCAAGTTTATTTGTAGCCATATTTAACTAATTAGTAAGTAAGAGGATCACGTTAATCTATATTTAACTTGCGATTGGCCAATCACAAATGAAGCGCTTTATTTGGTCACCTCATTAATTTATTTGATATAAATATTTTACAAATAAAAAAAAAAAAAAAATAATGATGTTTTCTTCTTAATTCCTTCCTCATATTGTAAATTTTTAAGACATTATTTATTGTTTGGAAAGCTCACTAACTTTATATTTTTTGTAACCATTCTCGTCAATCTAAAGTTTATACTTTAGGTAATGTATAAACAGTAGGGCTCAGAAAAAAAAAATGTTTATATATTTAATATTAACGCGTATTCTTTTTTTTCCCTCTTCAAACGAAATAAAAACAAACAAAGTTTTTATTTTTTTATTCTTATGCCGGAAAAATTTGTAGTACAATTACCGGCGGATTGCCTTCGAGTGATTTTTGAGAACCTTTCAGGGGATATTAGAACCTTGCGAAACTTGTTATTAGTTAATAGACTATGGTGTGAAACTGTTGTACCTATATTATGGAGGAATCCATTTAAACGCAAGCGATTATATAATTTCGATCAAGGATTTTGGACAACGATCACCAGAACTTTATTATCATGCTTACCAGAAGAGTCAATTATATTATTTAGGCATAACGGAATCAACCCTCCAAACCTTTTATTGGATGGGAAATCAGGGGATCGAAAACTTGCATTATTTGATTACTTTGGTTTCTGTCAAAATATCTCATGTCAAGATATATATGAAATAATACCGGAAATACTCGGACCGGAACATCCGACTGATATCACATGGTTTTACAATGGAAATTTAGTAGAAAATGAACTATGGAAATTATTCATGAGTAGGTGCTCAACCATCAAATATTTGGAAATACCAAACATTTCTATCGATTATTACACAAATATCAATAAGAATAGCACTAGTTTATCCTATTTGGTTGAATTAGAATGTTCCACCTATAAATCTTCCCAGCTATTTTTAGATTTGGCTCAAATATGTAAGGATATTAAAAAGATTACGGTAAATTTATGTGATAATGATAACGAAGGGTTGGTCTCATTAATTTCGATGCAAAAGGGTTTGGAAGAGATTATATTAATTTCATCAATTGAAGGATCTCAATGTACTTTAATCGGGGAAGCTATTGGCACACAGTATCCTTCATTGACCAGCATTAGCTTGGAAGAACACATTCGTATTCCTTCAACCACCTTTTCTAAACTAATCAATTTGAAACATATTCGAATCGATTTAGAAGAAAACGTTAATTCAAAAATGGAATTATTGGATAATTGTTCTTTCCCTTTCTTGGAAAGTCTGGAGATAAGGAATGTTCATGAAAAATATTTAGATCTATATACAAAATTAATTAATAATACGAACGGATCCCTTAAACATTTAGAGATTGATACAGTTCCTCATCCCTACTTATATCATATCAGACCATATTGGCAAGCATTGATCAAACATTGTACTCAATTAGAATTTGTCACCCTTTGGTTTAAAGATGATTCTTTAAATGATTTAAAAGATTTATTAAAAACGTGTGGTAGTAAAATGAAGGGGATCATTTTTGAGGCCGTGTTGGGTCAATTTAGTTGGCGTCCTTTGGATTTGAATCCTTTATTTGAAGTATTGGTGGAATTGGTTGGTGGTAATGGTACCATTGAAGAATTACATTTTAGTGGTACGTGGATCTTTAGTCCAAAAGACTTGAGAAGATTTTTAAGTCTTTGGGGAAAGAAGAATTTAATTAAAGAATCCGGTTATAAAGATCATAGGAAGATCAGGAAACCATTATACTTGAGTACTAAAGTTGATTTTCAAATATCCAAGGAAATTATTGATATTTTTGAAGAATTCGTTGAAAATGGTGTACTTAAAGGATGGTCCAGATGAATTGATGAGGGATATTTTATTAGGATAACTGTGGGAGAACAGCATAGGAAATCGAGAAAATCTTCGTTTTGCTTGAGAAATATTATCATTATATAATAATTATAATAATAAACTTGGTTATTTATTGCTTTTTTTTTTTTTTTTGGTTTATTTAATATTTTTTTTTTTTTTTTTTTTAAAAAAAAAAATATTTCAATATAAAAACAACAAATAATATAATAAAACAAAGCATTTTCATTAAAATATATATAAAAAAAATTTAATAATTCCCCCAACGACGATTATGATTATACCTATCTACATAATTATAATTAGGTATATATGAATTATATTGATTGGAGTTACTATATGAGTAATATTTAGATGTATTAGGATCTCTATTATATTCATCATAATCAATGCCATCATCTCTCCTGTTTCTACTGTTTCTACCCCTAGTATCTCTACGCTTTTTATAATTCTTTCGATTATATGGACATTCACTAACGACATGATATGCATTACAAATTCTACATCCCCTTGGTTTTGGGAATCCATTCTTCTTCAAATATTCTTCCCACTCAGCCTGTCGATGCCTATAGAGTATCATGGAAGCTCTTGCATCCTCAATTGAGTCATGTTCACCTTCTTGAATATTGATCCCTAAAACATTTTTAGCCAACTTCTTTAAAGAAACTGTGTCTCGATCTAAACAAAAGATACTATTATAAAGTGATGTGTCTCGGACCAAATAATCCGGATGGTTGGTTTTAAGGGCCTATAAGAAATTGCAAAAGTATTTGTGATCGAATTGGTATGAAGTATCACCTGATCTTAAATTGTTTATTCCTTACCTTGAAATCAAAGTAAATGGACTGTCCAACTACTATGTGACCTCCCATAAGTTGTTCAACTTCTTTTTGTACTTTATTAAATTCAATTGCTATCAATCATAAATTTATAAATTAATAAGATACAATATCTTTCCAAAAAGGACGAGACGTAGAACAAAAAGTTTACCATTAATTAATGATTCAGGCGTAATTCCACTAAATTTAGTTCTGTAGTCGGTAATTCTTCTGGTAATTTTGACAAATTTATCCAATAATATTTCACCGTAATAATTTACTATGCTAACTCTCGCTAATACAGACGTTTTCCCCTTTTCACCAACCCCAACCATTTCACAATCAATCGCAATACAATGATTGTTTTCATGTACACGTGGTAAACTACAGCATGATGCAAAGGTTATAAAATTTGGATTCGTTTAAATGAAAAGATTTTTTTTAAAAAATGGAGTCAATAAATACCTTCTTGAGTTCAAGTAATCAAACCATAATTCCGATGTTGGAAGTTTCAAGTCTGGTTCATAAGTGGACTCGATTTGCATATCTGGAATTATATATATCATTAATCTTTGACTTTCAGTTTCTCTGGAGAATCGATTAGTAACAGCATCTCGCGATCTAGAATAAACATAAAATGTGTTAATGACCGTTAAAAAGAGAAAAATATAAAAAAAAATTCCGAAAAAATTACGTATTTTGAATTCGCTCTGTAGGAAAATTTTCATTAATTTGCGTTTGTTCTTCAGGATAAATTGTTTCAAATTCTATTTGGTCATCATATTCTATTTGTTCATTTTGTTCGATTGTTTCAACTTCTATTTGTTCATCTTTTATCTGTTCATTTGGTTTGATGAATTCATCTTCTATTTCTAATAGTAAAGTGTCTTTGGGATGATGAAGTTGCTGAACTACTACTTTATTATTCGAAATTTGTTGATGAGAAGGAAGCGAATGAAAATACATTTCATTATTATTATTTGGAATTTGTTGATTAGGAGGATGCGGATAATAATACATTTCATTATTTTGTTGACTAGGAGGATGAGGATGAATTTGTTGATTTGGATGATAAAACGTTTGTTCATTATTCGGAATGTGTTGATTAGAAGGAAGCGGATGAAAAACCATTTCATTATTCAATCGTGATTGTTCCTTAGGAATGGGAAAATGTTGTGGATTCACACGCGAATGTACCACAGGGAGATAAGATTGTGTTGATGCTGTATTTATTTGTGGAAATGCTTTTGGAAAATAAAAAAGAGGAGGTTGTGATTTTACCACATTCATTTGCGAAAGTTCCCTCGGAGGATAATACAAAGGAGGTCGTGATGCCGTTGAATTAATTTGTGGGATTGCCTTGGGAAAATGAAACATGGAAGGTTGCGAATTTACATTATTTTCTCTGGGAGGATAGAATAGAGAAGGTTGCGATCTTGTTTTATTATTGTTTGGGGTAGGATTAGATCGAGAAGGTTGTGAATTTGTCGGATTAAGTTGCATCTGCTTTTTGTGAGGTTGAGATGGATGAGGAAACTTTGATGTTTTGGTTTTCTTTGTTGTGGTAGCTACATTGAAATCATCCAATCTAAAAATATATATATATATATATATGTATGTATGTATATACATGTATAAGATATCATTTTTAATTTTTATCGCGAATGAAAAGATTTTTATTTTATAAAGCTTTATTATACGTTATCAAATTCTTTCCCCGAGACTTTTCCTTTTCTTTCTTTTTCTTGGGTCGAACGTCATGTTCACACTCATTTTGTTTTTTCTATTCGAATCATGTAGGTTATGTGTATATACCGTATATAAATATAATTGAAATATATTTATTTATTTTAATTTATATAGCTTAACCAATTTTTTAAAAAAAAATGAAAATTTATCAAAATAATTTACCGAAGGTAATTGTTCAAATTTATCCAAGGATATCAAGTTTAGATTCAAATCTCTCAAATCAGTTATCAACTTTTCATCCATTTAATTTATTTATTTTTTTAAAAAAAAAAAAGGGGGATATTTAAACTTTTTTTTTAAGGGACAAAGGAGGTCATTCAATTGTACCTATTTATGGAAGGTTATTAAGGTTTCAAGCTCCGTAGTTTAAATCCGTTCCGATAACATTTTTTTTCACCGTTTTTTATGAAACGAAAAAAGTTTGTTTCAATGTAAAAAAGATGGAAAAAAAAAAAAAAAAAAAAAGGGTTTTATAATATGATTTTGGAAACTTGTATGAAATAGGTAACTTTGTCATGTTCAATTAAAAAGAAATTAAACTTTATTTGTAAATCATTTTTAAGGAGGAGTAATGAATATTTCATTTTCAATTACCCACTTTTAGATTATCCACAAATCAAAAAACTGAGAGTTACACGCACGCAACTCGAAAAATATGCACAAAAAGTGATATGGCGTTGTTTATGCCTAAATCATTACCATTACTGATTTCCGATTTCATTGACATAAGAAAATCATCGCGAGAAGATTATTACTTTGCTACCGCTATCTTACGTCATCCTCGATATAACGGGAATGATCGGTTAAAAATTCTTTGAAAATTCCAATCTTTCATACCAGGTTCAACAAGATTGGACAATTCTTACCATTTCACAAACGCCACATGTACAATACCTTAACCTTTGGAGAAAAATTAGATGTTATTGTTGCCAGCAACAAATCCAGAGCACGCGTGAACGAGAAAAGATTTGGTGTAACCAATAATCAATTTCGGATTCGGCTTTCTATTTCCGGCCATTATACTATCATAACTCGCGCAAACTTGTTTGATTGCATATTTTTTTTTGTAGACAAATAAATAATAGGTTCCTAAATTTTTTTCTCATCATTAAGACGTTAATAGTAATATGACTGAAGGATATGGTAAGATTAAATTAAAATTATACTCTTCGGCACGTTTGATTTTCCGTCCGTGATTAGAAATTGATGCTTTGATTATTAATTGCTTGCTTAGAAATCGTTTGTCAAATTTGTTATAAATACGAGCCCAAAATACGTTCACTCTTTTTTTTTTTTTTTAGACATACATACTTTCAATTAAAAAAAAATAATAAATAAAGATGACTATCAAGGTAATCGGGTTCGCTGCATCTACTTGTGCTCAGGTTGTGCTCATCACTCTTAATGAGTTAGGTGTACCTTATGAGTTCGAAGAGATTGCATATGAAGATATCAAGAAACCGGACTACTTGGCCAAACATCCATTGTAAGTTTGAACATATATATATATATCTGTGCCACGAAATCATTCCTTTTTTTATTGAACGAAATTTTTTTTTTACCTTCTTTTTACAGCGGACAAGTCCCGGTTCTCATTGACGGCGATTTCCAACTTTTCGAATCTCGTCCAATGTCTATTTATTTGGCAAAAAAATATCAAGGAACTAAAACTTCCACTATACTTTACCCTACTGATGATCTACGAAAAGCCGCATTGGTGGATCAATTCATCTCGATAGAATACTCGAATTATGATGAAGCTATCAAAAAAATAGCCGTGGAGGAAATATACACAAAATTTAATGGTAAAACTCCTGTTCAAGAAAATATTATAGCAGGTCGTGAAGCACTTTCTAAAGTGTTGGATGTTTATGAAAAACTCTTGGAGGGCAAAGATTATTTGGCTGGTGATTTCTCCTTGGCTGATATTTTTCATATACCTTACACTTATATCTTTTATCAACGAAATCATCGTGATTTGTGGGATGATCCTAAACGTCCCAACGTTGCTAGATGGTGGAAAAACCTTAGCGGTCGTGAAAGCTGGAAAAAAATTCTCCGTAAATATGAAGGAAAATTCCTTTAAAAGTAAAAAATTTTTACTCTATCATGTAATTTTTCACTTTTTATCAAATTTTTAAATAAATAAATTTATATAAATGTATGAGATACAAAAAAAAAGAAAAAAAAGTGGAGCGTAAAGTTGAATGAATTATAATGGAAGTTTTATGTTTGGCACATTTCTCTCTAAATGAATTTCATATCCTCGAGACGTAGGCTTAATCGAAAATTCCAATGTGGGTTTACTTTCATCATCAGACGATGTAATTGAAGAAATAATAGCCCATGTTACGGAATCTAATCTACCGACATGAGAACGATTCTTATCTAAATGAATAATAATAACTTCTAAATTAGGGCAAGAATTAACAATTGTTTGAATGAACCTTTTTAGGTGATCCAAAGTATAAACTTTTGTCTCGACTTTAATAATTTTAAGCGAATTTCGTGAGTGAATTATAAATCTATCATAAACATTACTTATGGAGTAAAGATACGTTATGGGTGAAATTTCCAAGGAATTCGAAGGAATGAAGTCAAACTTGTTATTACCATCATCGTCAATTATTTGTAATTCTTGTAAATTGCTTTGAGACCTAATCAAATCTTCCAATTCATCATTATAATAAGAATTATACGTGAGAATCTTAAGTTTTTGTAATGAAAGACCATATCCCTTGATTTCTTGATACATGTTCTTTGAATGTTTTATGCTGCAAACCAACGTATCAATACTTTTAAAAAATTCCTTCATATCATCATTATATTTCAAAAATGATATGTCATTCGGTATCATCAACGTCTTAACACGTTTACATTCTTGTAACATGTATTTCCATAATTCCTTGGTAACTACTCTCTTACATTCAATTAATGATTCAAACCCATCAAAGATATTATCTACCAAGAGGTTAATGTAAATATGCGAAATTTTTTGTAAATATATTATGTAGTTAAATTTTGGTTGTGAAAGGAGGGAAGGGTTTAATGGTATCCCTTGGTGAATAAATAGTTGTTTCGTTTCATATGGTAAACATTTTAATATCGTTTTACCAATGACTTTCCAAAATATTTTGTAATCATGATGATTTTTAAACGTTAGATGGTTGACTTTTCCCTTTAAAGTTAAAGAACAATTGGTGATGTTGACATGTAAATATTTATTATGTTTCCATGGGTTTTTCCATAGAATTGATATGGCACAAATGAACCATGTCTTATTTACCAATAAGCATGAGAACAAATCAAAAGGACTATCCGACAAATATTGAACAATTTCTCGAATACAATCCTCTGGAAGTTGTGGTATCATCTTTTTTTTTAAAAAAAAAAAAAAAAGAGGGGGAAGGGGAGAGAGAAAAATGAGATTTTTTTAATCGTAAATGTCATTTAAATAATTTCTAAAAATGGTTTCTTTTTTTTTAGGTGGCGCAATAAAAACCGGAAACCTATGAGATGAGTTCTTTTTTTCAGGGATAATCACGTGCTGATTATAATCGATTATTTGTAATCGATATTTAATGAATGAAGAATCTTTTTAAAAGTAATGATTAAATTAACCAAATCGGTAAATTTGAACACTTTGTTGTAAATGGCAAAGTGTTTTTTTAAATAAAGCATTTCAAGTTTTAGATCGTCCTATAGTTTTCCCAAATTTTCGTTCATATCAACATATTTGATAAAGAAAATTCCTTCTAAAAAAAAAAAAAAATATCAGAAAAATCAATTGAAAAATCGAACAATTTTCTGACAAATTTATCACATGATTATTAAAATATAGTGTATACATATTATATTTTAACTTGTTATGATTTAATTGGTCTAAATTAATTTATGACGATTTGTTAATCAATTTTATTACTAAAAGAAATTATGATTATCGCTTAATAAAAAAGTGAAATTGATTGGAAGTTAGAATTAAACCAAAACATATACAATTAATAGCAATATACGGATCTCTTCAAATGCATCATCTAATCAGATACTGTGTACTGTACATCTCCCTAAAATGCGTATTAATAATATTTACATGGTTTGGTGTAATTGATAGTACCGCTATCGACGACACCCAGTCGATGATAAAATTCACATACTTTAATGATATAATGAGAATAAATATTGTTATGGAAATTAAATTTTAAAGGTTTCCTTTTCATTTCCTTCCATAATTCAAAAAAGTCTTGAAGATCCAAATTAGAAAAGCTCCATCTTCCGATTAAATGAATAACATTTAAAAACGTGGATGATTTTAAGGCCAATAAATAAAAAATTGGCTTAGCTAATACCGTATCCGAATTTGAAACCGTATTCAAGATGTGAATGATGATTTTTTTAACCCTTGAACAAGTTGCTAATAAATCTTCAAAATCTTTTAAGGAAATGTTTGAAATCAACCAAATCGGTAAGATTTCAACCTTTGAACATTTCGTCTTGATTACATGTAGATAATATTTAATTGATTCTAATGGTGGTGGTATCGATGTACTAATATCCGTACATCGAATGTCAATAACTTTAAGTGAACTTCTCGTATTATCAATTAATTTAGCGTAAATATCTAAATACTCCCCTCTAACATTTTTTAACGAAAGAATTTCTAGATGTGGCAAAGAAACTTTTTCCAAGATTTGAACATTTTCCTCACCAAATGATGATTTATAATTGATTTCCAATTCGGTTAAATTGACAAAAGATGAAATGATTGGTGAGGACAAACAAATGCCACGATCAAATCTAAGAATGTTTAAAGATTGAGAAAGATGTTTAATAGTTTTTCGATTTTTAAAAGGAAATTGAGCTACATTTGAATCATAGTAAAATGATATTTCCTTTAAATTTTTTTGTGATAGGATGAGAGGTTCGATATCATTAGTTTGACCCACAAAGATTAAAAGATGTTTCAACGTATGAACATTTTTTAATAATTCGAGAATTTCTTTTGAGCAATGCCAACATTCTAGAGTGGAAAGTGATGATAAAGAATTTTTTGATCTAGGATGTTTAAAAAATAGTTCAATGTTTGATGATCGAATGGATTTAATCTTGAAACACTGATTCATGAATAATGACCAACATTCATTGAATAACAGTCGTTTGATCGTTTCATATTGTGTCACCATCCTAATATTAACATCTTTCAATATGTCTGTAATTAAGATTTTAGTTTTAAATTCGGAAATGAATTGAATATATGAAACGTAATTGAATAAAGGTGGTTGTAATAATGAAGGGTTTAGAAAAAATTGTTGTTGTTTTAAAAGAGATTGTTTGGTTTCTCGTGAGAAACATTTGATGATTGTTTTCCCAAGGATCTTCCAATAATTAGTTCTTGACATACATTCCAACCATGGGTCCTTCCTTACGGAACATGGATCTCTCCATAATATTGGCACGACACATTTACAAAATAATCTGTTTGTAAACAAGCATGTGTATAATGATTTTTTATCATCCGAAAGATATTCTAATATTTCCCTAATACAATCTTCTGGAAGTGGCATTTTTTTTTTTTTTTTTTCGTCAAAGAGTGAGTTGAGAGAGGAATTTGACATTTGTGATTTAAATGCAAGCAGTCATGTGACCATGTGACCATGTGACCACAAATTCTCTAAACCTCTTTTGTTTAATTACATTACTGTTTTATTGGAGATTTTTATAATAATTACAAATGGGAAAAAAGAAAAATTTGTTAAGCTCAACATGGAAATGGAGGCTTAAGTTGAGGCTCGGCTTTAATGTTAATATTGAGAATGAGAATTTTATCATCTAGATTAAATTTGCCTCCTCCCGAATTTGATTTTGGCTCGTTCGTCTTGATTTATTGTAGATCGATCACGAGGCACATCTTTAAAGGTGGATTATCAACAGCAAAAATTCCTCCAAGTTGCGAAATACCGAAATCCCCCTATCGTGGCTTACGTTTATTAAAGTAGATCAAACAAAGATTATCGCGGATTTCGTCTAAACCGTAAAGGATAATCTTCTAAGGGGTCAAGATTATATAATAAATCAATCAATTGACCAAATTTAAGCCTGATTTCCAAAGCCTCCCTACAAACTCATTAGGCACATGATCAAAAATGACTACCTGACGCGCAAAAAAAGCAAAATTGTTGGTAAATCTGTTTCTTGATCCTTCATTTATTATTATTATTATTATTATTATTATTATTTTTTCAGAAAATTAGTTCTATTTACATTAGGGGGAGGGAGACTAACACAACACACAATATACTAATAATATTTAAATGGTGTAGTGTAGTTGATAATACCACTATTAATGATACCTTGTTGATGATAAAATTCACATATTTTAATAATATAATTAGAATAAATATTATTATCAAAATTAAATTTCAAAGGAGTTCTTTTAATTCCTTTCCATGATTCAAAAAATTCTTGGATATCTACATTAGAAAAGCTCCACCTTCCGATCAAACGAATCTCATTTAACATCATTGATGACTTTAAAGCCAATAAATATAAAATTGGTTTCGCCAATACTGTATCTAAACGTGAATTCGAGTTTAGGATGTAAATAATGATCTTTTTAACCTTTGAACATGATTCTAATAAACACTCGAAATCTCTTAGAGGAATCTCCGGAGTTAACCATATCGGTAAGATCTCAATGTTTGGACATTTCGTCTTGATTACATTTAAATAATATTCAATTGACTCTAATGGTAATAACATTGGATTATCCGCGTGAAAATAAATATCAATGACCTTGAGAGAATTTCTCGTATTATCCATTAATTTGGCGTAAATATCTAAATTGTTCCCTCTAACATTCTTCAAAGTAAGAATTTCAAGTTTTGGCAAAGAAACTTGTTCTAATATTTTATCATTTTCCTCACTGTACGATGATTTGTAATTAATTGACAATTCTGTTAAATTGATAAAAGAAGAAATGTTTTGCGGTGATAAACAAATTCTACTATAAAATTCAAGTACTCTTAAGGATTGAGAAAGTCGAGTAATAGTATTTTGATTTTTAAAAGGGAATGGACATTTATTCTTCGAATGAAGGCCAAATGATATTTCTCTTAAATTATTTTGTGATAGTATGAGGGTTTCAATATCATGATATGAAACTTCATTAATTGAGATTACGAGTCGTTTCAATGTGTGAACATTTTTTGATAATTCAATAAAAATTTCTTTTGTTTCATTAGAGGAATTTGGATAACATTCTAAGGTGGAAAGGGATGATAAGGATTTTTTTGATCCGGGATATTTGAAAAGGTTCACGGTTGGTAAACGTAGAAACTTGATCTTAAAACATTGTTTCATGAATAATGACCAAAATCCATTGATTAACAATTCTTCAACCCTAATGTCATAAAAATCTTCGAATACATTTTCCATTAATGTATCGATCGCACTTTCAGAGATGAATTGAATATATGAAACGTAGTTGAATAAAGGTTTTTGCAATAATGAAGGGTTAAAAAAAATTTGTTGCTCCTTTGAAAGGGATCGTTTGATTTCTCTTGGAAAGCATTTGATTATCGTTTTCCCAAGAATTTTCCAATAGTTTGTTCTAGAATAGTATATTGACCACGGTTCTCTCCATAGTATTGGTACGACACAATTACAAAATAATCTGTTTGCGAACAGACATGTATATAATGATTTTTTATCTTCCGCAAGGTGTTCCAAGATTTCTCTAACGCAATCTTCTGGAAGTATCATATTTTTTTTTTTTTTTTTATGAAGGGCAAATTTTGAAACTGAAGAAAGGGCGAAAAAAACAACTTGGATTTATACCAAATTTGACAATCGATGACCACCTGATACCAAACTTTGATGCAGCCTACGATGTAAATCATACCTCCTCCGCAGTATATTATGGTTTATCACCTTATCAATGCATTGTATGGATTTACAGAATTACCAACCATTATTCAAAAAAATAGAACCAATAAGAATTTCTCCGATTAAATCGATTTAATACATCCCTAGAATTAATTTTATTCTTTTTTTTTTTTTTTTTTTTTTTTTTTTTTTTTTTTGTTTAGTTTCTTTCCTTCTCCTTTTTTTTTTAAAGAAAAAGAAATGAATATAATAAAAAAAAAATTATATATAATTTTATTGTAGTTAAATTTTAAATTGACTATATTACAAAATCCGGATATTCACACCCTTTCATTTTTCCAACTGCCTTGTAATATTTACCTAGAGGTTATCAAACCAAACTGATAAAAAAAAAGACGAAAATGGCACATCTACTACCATCAGATTGTCTACGAGAGATATTTAAATTTATGCGAGAAATATCAGAAACAGCAGTTGAAGAAAGAAAGTTATTATTATCATGTTTATTAGTGAATAGGCTCTGGTGTGAGACGGCCGTAGAAATCTTATGGCGAGACCCTTGGAGATTCGGAAGATTTTCCAGAGATCAAATATATTGGAAACCATTATCAAGGACAATATTTTCATGTTTATCCAAAGAACAAAAAGAATTAATTAAAAGGAATAATATAAGTTTATCATTAACGGACAAACGACCGCTATTTGATTATATACCAAGTATACAATTTTTATCTAATGATCACATTAAGAAGGTCGTAGAGAACATACTGATGACAGGGGTTAAATGTTCGGACACGTTATTTCATTATAACGCAAATATTCTTGAAAATGAATTATGGAAATTATTCATGAAGAAATGTGTTACGGTGAGATATCTTCAGCTACCAAATACGCCTATTGTTCATTTCCCGGGAGCGAATCAATGTTTAGCTGCATTAAGCGAGTTTGAATGCTCGGCTTATGCGCCAATAAAGTTATTTTTAGATTTAGCACAAGTTTGTAGAAATATCAAATCAATGATTATTGATCCATGTGGAGATGATAATGATGGATTGGAAACATTAATTTGCCTACAAAATAATTTACAACACGTTAGATTGCATTCAATTGAGGATGATAAATGTCAAAGGATTGGTGAAGCGTTAAAAACTCAATCAAAAACCTTAACAAGTTTATACGAGTCTAGTATTTGCATACCTTCCAATATCATTGCTGAATTAAATAATTTAAAAAGCCTAAGTATTATGATTGATGAGTTGGACACAGACTTGGATCAGTTAGGTCTTATTGAATTACCGAATTTGGAGGTATTGGAAATCATGAGTTCAGCGTATCAACCTCTAGATCTTTATACTTCACTTATAAAAACCACCATCGGATCTTTGAGAAAGATTGTTTTTAAAACTTTTCCACCTCCTTCAGAAGTAGAAATACAACCGTATATTCAAACGATAATTAACCAGTGTCCGAATATTGAAGAAATTACACTTTGGTATATTGAAGAAATTTACCCTGATCTGGAACAATTATTATCATCATGTAAGAAATTAAAGTCGATCGATTTGGAAGCCCTATCAACCTTTTCTAACCTTATCCTTGATGAGGAGAATGATGATGATGAGGAGGAGGAGGATGAGGAGGAGGAGGATAACAATGATGATGATGATGACGATGATAATGATGACGATGATGATGTTTATGTTGATGAGGATCGATCAGGATTAGATCTAGATTATCAATTAGCTTGTGATGCCACATCTATTTTCGGATTACTTATTAAGAAATCTTCTCATAATTTGGCTCAATTGAATTTAAGTGGTAATTGGAGATTTACGGTTAATGATTTAGAAGGTTTCTTGAAAATGTGGAAAGGTAGAAAGCCTTTGTCCTTAAAATTGACTTGTGATGTCGTTATCACTACAACTTATATGGAAGTCTTGGATTATTTTACATCCGTTGGTATTTTAAAAAGTTGGTCCCAGGGTTGGCCTGAATGTTGATTTTGGTAATTTATAATAAACCGATAGAAATAATTTGATGTCAAGACAATTGTACATATTATTTGAATTGAGAGATAGTCCGTTGAAAGATCTAAAGTTTATAATTTAACATTCAATATTATTTGTTTAGGGAAATTTTATAATTTGAAACGTAAATTTGCTATAATGTAATTACAAACATCCATTTATTTTTTTTAAACAAATTTATTCATTTAAATTATTAATAATATCATTTATAATAATTAAATGTTATCCTTTAAACGATTTATGAGGCAAGCCTTATTGAAATCAAAAGTTTTTTTTTTATTTTTTATTTTTTGATTCGGTATTGATTTTTCAACTAAAAATAATTTTTAAACCGTTCTCAATTTTTCGAAGTGAGATCACGTGGAAGTAGGCTTAAAGATATGAATAAAATAATGAAATGAAGATTTTATTGGACTCATTTCTTTATTTCGAAATTTTGACATTGGTACTCTCGTTCCAATCTCAAAGTTAGAATTATTTTCATCTCGATGAGAAACAATTTTTTTATGAAAATGACGCCAGTAACAAAAAAATCCAAATTACCTATACCGAAAACATAATTTACCTAAAAAAAGCAAATATAATTTATGCTTTACCTAATATAAATTAAGTTGCTGCATAGATGGCTCGTTTACTTAAGCTCGTAATGATGAGGAATTCTAGAACTCGTTAATGAATTTTGATTAATGCACGCATAAAAATTCAAAGATTCTCTGGCGTTTCTTGTAATTCGGTTATCACATTAAAGAAATTTTAGCGCATGCAAAAATACGAAACTTGAACGCGCAAAGACGGGCATACCTCGCATGAAAAAATGCGAGTAAATGTAATGTGGGGGGATGTGGGTATGTCAATCTATTCAATAAATTTGAAATCTGTCTCGAACTGTCCCCACAATAGACAATAAATAATGCATTCAATACAATATCATTCTTATTTTGATTTATTGATTGTAAGTAAAACCATAAGCATCAGCATTTTCCTTTCATGCGACGCAGTAACTTCCACATTCAACAATGGAAACGTTATCGTTAAAATCTACAAATGTCAAAAGCAAATCCGGAGACGTGTATAATGTCACTACAACTCCTCTTGTAATACAAAAACAGATATTTTAATTTCAAATTTTCACGTTTTTTCAGTTAAGCATATGTTGAAACTTTTTCACAATATGACCCAAAAAAAATATCTACGTTTATCACCAATTCAAACAATGTAAAACTTAATCATCATTATATAAAACAAAGGATTGAGGGGTAACGATTTGATTTACCGAATTCGTTAAAGATCATCTTGTTCAAAAAAAATGGCTCGTGAAAATTTGATATTGTGCACTCGCCGCAAAAAAAAGGTGTGGCGAGATGATGATGTTAAATTTGATCGTGAAATGCAATTCCAATTCGATGTACATGACGACATAGCATCATTGAAACAGCTTCTCTGCATATCATGGAACATGTAGAAAGAAAGGAGCCACAGTTGGATTTACTAAATTTATCCGCATCATTTTTCTTTGTTTCAACAGGAAACTTCTAGGATCCATTGTCATTTTTTTTGTACACCCACCACTTTCTTCCCCGAATTGCTTATTGCAATTCATTTTTTTTTTATGTTCAAAATTTTCCTTTTTTGATTAAACCATTTTGAGCCACATACAATATCAAAAATTTACCATTATATTTTTGCGGAGTTGTTCCTTTTGTTAACAATTATCTTTTTACGTTCTGTACAACATTTTTTTTTCACACTTTTTTTTCAAAAGGAATGTTTATCAAAAAAATTTTTTTTTTTTTATTTTTTTGAAAATTATTAAATTAATTCGTTTTATCTCGTCTTCGCGCGGCGTATAATTCATTGTGGCGCAGATTTATTTATTTGGGTTACTTTTTTTGAGAATTTTGGCGGGAAATCCAATAAACAAAAGCGAGACATAATGTCGCCATTCTTTTGGCGGGAGGGAATTTTGTTCATCCGCACGGACCATTTTTATTTATTTACTTATTTATTTATTTTCAAATTACCAAGAATTAAAGAACGAGTTATAAGCTGTATGGTCAGCAAAGTAACTTTCGAAAAAGGTTTCACCCTTTTTACCCTTTTTATTTTGTATTTATTTGTAAATGAGAGATAAAGTTTGCAGACGAAATTGTTTATATAATTTTGAATTATGAATTTTTATTTTTACTTTGAATTATTTTTTTTTTTTTTTTTTTTTTTTCGTTATAAACACGTAACGAGTTGCAATAAAATAATATTTTGTAAATGAGATAAAGTTATATTAGAAAATTGGTTTACAAAATGTTGAAAATATTTAAAAATTGTTTTGATTATGAATTTTTATTTTTACTTGAATTATTTTTTTTTTTTTCAAAATAAACACGTAATAAAAACGATTTAAAACGTTAAAAATAAAAATTCTATTAATAATTATTTACAGATTCTTAATCAAAAGTGTTTTTAAAAAAAATGCTAAAAAGAGAAAAAAATATATAAACTAATTTAAAATTGTTCATGAAAAATTTGAATGTATTATACACGAGGAAAGAAAAAAAAGATGTGATGATGCAAGAATTATGCTGATATGACATTGAAAGTGAATTATATTATAAAAAAGAGATAATTATTATTTTTTTTTTTTTTTATATAGTGTTTCTATGCTTTCTGATTTTCATCATAACTTTTAAAACCTTTCTTGCGTTTTGTAAAGTCACAGCAGGAGATTTATTTAAATGAACGGTACGAGGACGTTGAGAGAGTAAAGGTCGGTCATGAGATAAATTTAAATTTTTATCTTGTAATTCGGGTTTTGATTTTGGTTTTGGAGTTGATTTTTGATGATGTTTCATCTCAATATCATTCTGTTGTTTTTTAGCTTTAACACGTCGCATCATACGGTTTGCGGTTGTTGAATTTATCAATTTCATCGAGGTTGTTCGTTTCGCACTTTCAGTTGCAAGAGTTGAATAACGTTTGCTTGGACAGATATTCATGGATTTCCAATCTTTGGAACGGTTTTGACCAAGGGATGATGAAATTAATGGACGCGATTTCTGTTCCTTGGGTAACCTGCATTTTTCTATTGTGAAGGAAAAATCAAATTGATTAGTTAAAGGTAAAAAAAAATTACATAAGAAGAGAAAGGACAATTAAATTGAAGATGTAGCTTACCAGCTTTTCTTAAAGAGAGTTCGGCAAACATTGAAAGGGCGGCTTCTTGTGTTTTGTTAATGGAAGATTTAGATTTGGGAAGGGCCTCGATTGGTTGGACGGCAACGGTTTTCTTTGTCGCATCGCTTCGGGCAACTGGCGCAGCAATGGCACCAGCGATTCCTTTCTTCGTTGGAAGGGATGCACTTCTTGATCTTGATTTTCTTTTAGAAGCGTTTGCCAAGATCTTTTTGATTGAGGTTGCTTCCGAAGAAACCTCTTGAACTTCCATGTTTTGCAATAATTCATCGATTAAAACTAAACACCACTTTGCGGTACTTGCACTACGTTCGCTCGCAATCATTATGAATTGTTTAGTGAATTTGGAAAGAGTGCTTCCTAAGACGTATAATAATAGATTTATGGCAAAAGTTGCTTTACATGCGACAGATAATGTGAAATTTGCGCACAACGATACGTGATTTACTACACTATCAAAGAGATTTAATTCTCCCTTTTGTTTTAATGTGAGAGACATTTTTTTTTTTTTTTTTTAAAAAAAAGAAATAATTTTTTGTTTTTGTTGAGAGTTTTCGGTCGTTTATATTGTGTTTTTTTCTTTTTTTTTTGAACGGGAAATACTAATTTTTTTTTTCTTTTTTTTTTTGTGGGGTAAAAAGATAATTTTTTTTTGGAGGATGGATAATGGATTTGATTAGTATTTATCTATTATTTTTTTCAATTATAATATATATATTTAATATATTTAATATATTCATTTATTTAACTTACAATATACTCTTATTGTTGAAAAGATGATTCTTTTATGTTTAATTCCAAAAAAGGAATGGTTTACAAGCCCTATACTATAATAAACTTTTTTTTATTTAGATAGAAGTCCGCTTTTAATTGTCAGGTATTAACGCATGTGATTTCTGCATGTACGCCATAACAAAATTTTTTTTTTTTTTTCAGCGGTTTTAAACATTTTTTCTTGATGATGTTTCAATGAAACAATAGAATAAACGTGACTGAAAGATGATGATATCACTAAAATGCTTGGAAAAATGTTGGAATTCGACTAAATCGACTGCATTCTATGATTATCCATATTGTCCTATTTTCTGATGGTTATTAATAGTTATTAATAGCAACTCGCAGTTCATATGATTTTCATAAAAAAAAAAATTCAAAGAAAGAAAGAAAGAATGTCTTCGATGTGAAACTTTTGGAAGAAACACCAAATTATGAGTCAGCAATTGTAACAAAAAATTATGCAAGACAAAGGAAAGGTTCATTAGTAATAAGGCGGATATTCATCTAATTATTCATCAAAAAACTTTTTTTTTTTTTTTTTACGAAAAATTTTAGGATGCGTGAATGCATAATTTCGCTGAGAAATTCTAAAATTATATTTGATGCAGCTCGTTATGCTATATATGTTGTGTACTTTACTTGTTATAACCAATTTCTGGATAGAAAGTCGGATTGCGTATGCCATTTCTTTTTCTTTTTTTTCCTTTTTTTAATTTTTTTTTTTTTTTATTCTTTTAATTTTTTTTTTTAAAATGTTAATTCGAAATGATAATTTTTCGGGAAAAAAAATGACGCATTCGCTTTTTACCCCCCTGAGTATGAGATCTTAAGCCTACTGCACACGATAAAAACGTAAATAAAAAAAAAAAAATTTTTTTTGAACATTTGGCGTCCTTTGCATAATTTGCTAACAATTGATGTTAAAACAGATTTTTTAAAGGAAAGGGAAAACTGGATTAGGATGCATCATCTAGAAAAAAAAAAAGCATGAAATTTCAAAACTACATGAA